GGTTTTAGCTTTATCTTTGGCACGTCTATATAGAGCTTGCTTTAAAATGTTTTGGGGGTCACTGGTGCCTTTAAAATTTTGGGGAAAATTCTAGATCTATTTTTAGAAAAATCCACAGACTCACACAGCTTTGCTTATAATTTCAGAAGGACCCCAGGTGATGAATCCCTAGCCCTAACAGAGCCCTGGCTGGAGTGATAGCAACAATAAAACACCCCTCCCAGCCAGCATGGAGTGAGTGTTTACCATATCCCCTATCCGCGTATTTATACATCCTCCAGGTGCACTGTGGGACGTCAGGTGACACCCCTGAAGACACATGGCTGGTGAGGGGCATATCCTGTCTGGATGGTCCAGCGACCACCCACTATAGCTCTCTTCTCTTTCTCCAGCCAGAGTGAACGCCAGGGGGGGAGGCCCAGGCTGACTGTCTCTGTGCCCCTGGGACTGTTTTTAATCTCTGCTAGTCAGCCAGGTTAAAATATGAAAATGTATGCTTCTTCTTTGTCAAGGTGTTATACCCTTCAAAAAACATCTTTACTGATGATTTGGTTCTCTTCTGTGCTTACCTTTTGGTGTCCTTTGCCCATTTTTCAACTATCTTAGTATCTTTTATGATGTAGAAGAAATTTTCTTTTTTAATATTTTTTCTAAAGGTTGTTAAAAATTGATTTTAGAGAGAGAGCGAGGGAGAGGGAAAGAGAGAAGGAGAAACATTGATGTGAAAGAGAAATATTAATCAGTTGCCTCCCACACGAGCCCTGACCAGGGACCCAACCGAGACCTGGGATGCCACTCAGCCAACTGGGCAGCACTGGCCAGAGCTCCTTTAAAGTTTATAAGGCAAATCTGGGAAATCTTTCCTTTAAGCTTCTAGGTATGGCATGCTCTCTAAAGTCCTGGAAGAGGTATGAAATGGTATGAAGTGTTTAGTATCTCCTGCTGTTACAAAAAACATACAACAAAACTCCAGGTGCCTCCCGCGCACCCCGCACTTCCCACAATGCCCAGGGCCCATCAGCTCCACCAGTAACCGCATTTCCAAACGGTCTTTCCTCCAACCCCTGCAGAGCTCTAGCAGACCTCCTGCATTCAAACCTTCCCCTGCCTTTGGCAAAGGTCAGAAAATTAAATGATGGCGGAAAATTCGTCAGAAAAACTTAGCGCTGAAAAGTTGGCAAATGGATGGAAGAGCAGAAAATGGCAGCAGTAAGACTGCCACGCGGCGCCATTGACATGGCCAGTTCAGAACATCCTCCTTTGATGTTATATAGCACATGTGTCAAACACAAGACCCGCGGGCCAAATCTGTCCCGCCAGGCCTTGCAATGTGGCCCGCACCGCGCTGTCATCACTGCATTCCGCTGCGTTTCCATCACACTGACAGTTTATGACTGTTCAGTAAACCATTCGGCCCGCGATTTAGGCTGGATTTTAGATTTTGGCCCCTTCTCTGATTGAGTTTGACACCCCTATTATATAGGTATACAGGCATCACTGGGGAGGGCCAGAGGAGACATCCGACTACTGAGGTCTCTGCTGAGAAAGCGTGGGGCTGGGGATAGGATCCAGACTGGGTCAAGTCTCCGTGGCCTCCTCTCCTCACGGTGGGGCTTTGACAGGTCCGTAAGCCTCAGTTTCTTCTTCTGTAAACAGCGGGAGGAACCCTACCTCTTCTGAGGGTCTCTTGAATACGGGAGCAGCCAGCACAGGGCAGCCAGGGCAGTGTCACGGAGGGTCCTCTCTTCCTTTCCTCTGACAGATGAGAGCTGCCGGGTTTGAAGTTGTTCACCGCCCACCTTCCCCATTCCCCATCCCACACAAACAAGTCACTGTCTCTGCTTTTGAATTTCCAGCACTAAGTGTAAGCTATTTACTGAGAGGCATTGCCGTGAAGCATATGTTAACAGCGGAGCTGCGGGGGAGAGGGCCGCAGAGATACAGGAGGTGAAGCATGGGAATCTTTTTGTCAATGAAGTGTGTTCTCGGTGTGCGTGGGCAGAGCTCGCCCTTTGGAACAGTGCAGAGTGCCCGGCGGTATTTCCCTTGGCTCCCCTTCTGCAGGGCAGCCATGCCCGGAGCGCCAGGCCAGCACTGACTCGGCGGCACAGGCCTCTGAGTGGAGCCGACCTTGTCTCTGTAAAGACCGTATTTACACTCTCGGGCTGCAGCTGTGGGATGTGCCACGTGCAGGGAAGTGCAGCTGCCGTGGCCGCGCTGAGTCTGCGAGTCTCCACAGGGAAGCGGCACAGGGAGGCCTCCGGAGAAGGAGGTGGCAACGGGATCACAGGCATACAGGTCTTGGGCCCCCAAACCTCAGTGCCAACCATGGTGAGTGTGGAGGTGATCAGGTTTGGGTGCCACAGTCCTCTCCCTGCTTCCCTCCTCCGGGCTAGGGTTCTTGACAGAAGAGGGGCTAGGCACCCAAGGAACATGCCACCCAGAAGCCAGGCACCACGTACTGATGACGGATCCAGGGCACGCTGTCCCCAGCGCAGGGCCTCTCTGGCCAGACCTGTGTGTAATTTCCTAGTCCCGGTTCTCTCCCTGCATCCCAGGCAGCCTAACTTGCCCTCCCAGGCCCCAGCAGAGAAGCAGGCTCACAAGTTCGTAACCTCCTCTCTATGCAGCCTCCCTCCTGCTGGGAGCGTGGCCTCATGAATATCTGCCCAGGTTGGCTGGAAGCTCCTGAGGCCAGCAGCTAAGACGTAGACCGTGGGGCCTGTGGGCAGGAGTGATGCCCTCTTCCATGGCTTGTCTGGGGTGAGAGGGCAGGGCAGAGTTCTGCCTGGCCGTGAGCTGGAGGCCAAGTAGCCCTACAGGCCTCTTCACCCATGATGCCCAAGGCGCTGTGTGTGACCATGTGAGGCTGTGCAGAGGCCCCGTAGCCCGTGGAGAATGTTCTAGGGATGTGTTAGTTCATACATGGGCACAGGGGAGGCTTCTGTGATGTCACCAAGACACACTGCTCTTGCGTGAGAACCATATGCTGGTTTCAATTATTCCCACTGAAGGTCTCTCTCCAAAAAGTCTTTTTGCCACTCCCCGAAACGTTTCTCTAACAGAAGAAATGACTAATTGTTGAAATTGGACCTGGACTTATCTAGCCACATTAACCTCTCTGAGAGCCGGGCGTGTGGGATGCTTAGGCAGAGTCGTGCCCAGCCAGGGACCAGATCCTGGGCATCTCTGCAGGCAGGCGCGCAGATTATAGGTGCTGCTCACTCACGCCCTGTCTATCCAGCAGGCTTGGGGGAGGAATGCTTTAGTTATGAACATATATATTCTGTGTCAGTCACCACTTTTGAGTGAACCAGAGTACAAAACAATAACCTAAACACTAGGAAGCTGGTGTGTACCCACAGGCTACTCAAGTTCAAGTTGCTACAGGGCTCAGAGTTGACATCATGAATGTTGTTTCTGGTCCTTCCGGGGAGAGGGTCCAATTGCTCATGCCTGCTGTTCAGGCCACTTAGCCTGCCCTCTGACGATGGGCACAGGGCCAGTGAGCTTCTCAGGAGTTTACAAAAGTGTTCAAGGCCCAAGAAAACCTGTTCACCCTAAAAAATCAAAATTTATAAGCAGGTAATTAAATTTCTGCAAAGTTTTACAAGTTGTCAGATTCATTAATTGTTAAATTTAGTTTTCATTAAAATGTTATTACTTTTGAAAACAATTTGTAGGTAGATTTTTCTCACTCCCAAGAATTCCTGAACATGCCTGATGTTTGCTGAGAAATCAGAGCCAACCATAAATTGTGTTACTCTTGGCCAAATGATTTCAAAAGCAAAATTATTAAAATCCTTTTAGAATTCTTACAGCAAAAAGTACAGGAGGTGTGTGAGGTGGGCGTGATTCCATGCACCTGGCATACTCCGAGGCCTCCCAAACCAGAACTCCCAGGCCATGAAGAGCTTGTGGGGATCCTGCTCCTGCCAGTTTGACCTCAGGACACACAGTGCTCACTCCTTGGTTTCCGTCACTTCCTTGGGCAGAGGAGAAACAAGGACTTGCAAGCAATTTTAGAAATAAGAGGTTAGACCAGGAGGGGCGGTGGTGGGCTCCTGGTGTGAGAAGTGAGCAGCTCCCTGTGGCTTCCCAGGACCAAAGCGAGTGGAGTCCTGGGGCTCCGGTGCGTGGGTCAGTGGTGCCCGAGGCTGCATGGGTGAGGGAGGTGGCAGAGTGGGCAACACATGGAGGCTCCTGGGTGCAGTGCTGATGATGCCCAGAGACCGCCAGTGCTGGTCTACAGGCACCTCTTGGAAGAGCCTCTCAGACCCACGTGAGGACAGGTGGCCATCCTGCAGGCTCCCAGTCCCTCCACCACTTCCAGGAAAGGGAATCAGCTTAGGGCTTGTCCTCAGAGAATCCATGTTGGCTTTCATTGATCACCTTTTAATTTTCTAAATGCTCACAAACCCCTTTTTATAATCTTTTACAATTTTTCTGGGGCTTGCCCACAAGCCAATTAGTATATAGTTCTAGTATTTCATCCTTTTTCCTTTCTGAAAACACGACACTTGCCCAGCACCACGCCCAGTCCTCGTGACTTCTTGGTGATGCTGGCAGTGGTTCTGAGAACTCATGCAAGGCCCTCCGCCCTCCTCACGCCCTCCTCCAGGAAGGCTTCCAACCCCAGAGGAGCCGCTTATCCTCCTAGGGGTTCCCACGTCTTGCTTATTTCTCTCTCCCAGAATACAGTAGGAGTGATGATTACTGCGCATGTAGAGCCCTTACACACTCTTTCATCTCATCCTCAGGAGTGCCTGCAGCAGTGAGAACACTCAGCAGGAAGTGGACGATCTGGGATTAGAACTCAGCTCTGCCCTCTGGTCCTGGTCCCTCCTGCCTCACTGAGCCGTGGCTGTCACACCGTAGTAGGATTGTTGGGGTCTCACTCCCCACCAGGGGCAGGAATCTCCTCAGGGACAGTGGTTATGGGTTGGTCTTCCCAGCCTAGCGTCCCACACGCATTCCTCCATCTCCCGTTTCCTCACCACCATCAGCTCATTCTGTTCTTTTCAGAATTCTGTTCTGAGGCCCAATAATAATAAATCCATCTGGAAACAAGGACCCCACGATGGGATAATCAGGATGCAGACCAAACCGTGGGAGAGGAAACCTGTGCTGTGGGGAGTCTGGGCAGAGGTAGTAGAAAGTCGGCATGGGATAGATTGTCCTTTTGGATGTGACTCTAGCATTCCCCTTAATTTCAACATTTAGAAATTTAATAAAGAAAACTATTATATTTGTCACTTAAACTAAACATTTTAGCAAAGATATTCTGTATATGTGCACTATTTTAACTTAAACTATTGTATCCAAAGCAATCTATTAAGGGACAATCATTTATCCATTTTTAAAAAATGACTAAGCCACTCGGGGTCCTCTAGCTGCATTGGCTCATCTTGGGGTACAGGGCCAGGATCATCACGCTTATGCCACATGCTCTGCTTCCAGAGTCACGGCAGGGGCCCTCTGCCCCGGGGAGCGCAGGAGGCACGGTCCTGCTGCCTGCATCCTTCCTGGCCCTGAGGTTACTGGGAAGTTCACATCGCTCCTTTTACAGCAGCGGCTGCCACTGCACTCAGCAAACCTAACCAGCTCCGCTTAGACACGGCAGGAGGGTGCCAACTCAATTCTCCTTTCCCTGTCACTTTCCCGGGGAGCATCTCTGGGTTTGATACAGTCCTCACCCCCTGGTATCCCCCCCCCACCCCCACCCCGTAGATTCGCCACAGCTATCCTTTTGTTGACTAGTGAGCTGGCCACAGATGCCTGAGCTCCAGGATTTTCTAGATAACTTCCAGTTTGCCTAGTGCCAAACTGTTGCTATTTCCCCATCGCAGGATGCCAGATCACTACTTTTAGCTGTAACAAGCTGATAGTTTATCTCCCGGGGCCGTAAGCACTTAGCCAAATGTTTTCCTTGGAAGAGGCCCGCGTCATAGAGGAAGAGCTCACCATCGCACTCAAAGGCTCTCTCTGTGACCTGGTCCCCGAGGTACCCAGGAGGGGAAAAGAGAAAGCAAAGCTACAAGGCAGATGACCCAGCTCTAACTGGAGTGCCTTTTGTTTATCAGGAAGCTAGCAAAGAATGCTCTTTGAAATATCGCTGGATTACGTAGTTCGTAATGAATTTGGAAATCTTATTTTGTTCAACAATAACACTAGAAACTAGACAGCGCAGTGCAGGGCCCAGCACGAGCTCTGGAGGCCTGAGGGCTGGGCTGTGCTCCCCTCAGCCTCTGTGATGGAAAGGCCCAGTCAGCCGTGGCTGGAGTCGCCCTCACCATCCTCGTTTCCAGGTGCTTCTCCTGCCACCCACAGCGCTTCAGGCTTGGAAGCTGGTTGGCTAGAGCTGACAGAACACCCGACCAATAGCGTTTCACCTGGATTGAAGATTGCTTGACCTCCAGAAGGAACAGAAGTTCCAGTGTGATAGATCTCATTCTCGATTTTAAAACATGCCACCGTGCTAGGGAACCACAGCCTAATGTATGTATTTCCCACCTCATAGCAGGACATAAAATAAGAGGGAAAAGTCCATCTAGGAAAACACTTGTTCGAGTGGCCTGTCCTTTCTGGCCTGCACAGTTACTGTCCATGTGGCCCTCGGAGCAGTTCAGAGCTACTGAGTTTTTGTTTTTAAAAATATATATTTTATTGATTTTTTACAGAGATGAAGAGAGAGGGATAGAGTTAGAAACATTGATCGATCAGCTGCCTCTTGCACACCCCCTATTGGGAATGTGCCCACAACCAAGGTACGTGCCCTTGACCGGAATTGAACCCGGGACCCTTCAGTCCGCAGGCTGACGCTCTATCCACTGAGCCAAACCAGTTTTGGCGCTACTGAGTTTTATATGTTTAGAGTTAGCCTATTTAAAGAAATGAGGACTTTAGACTTAGCTGTATGTTGCAGTAGCCCTAGAGAATTTGTCCAGATTTATCTATGGCTTCGGTTGGTCCATTTACTACAAGTCGGATGCACAGTAATGTTTTCTGTGGGAGAGCTTGATTGTTTTAGACATGCTGTGTTGTGATGCTAACTTAATTCTGTTCTCTCCCCGTCTCTCCTTTTTTGCTTTTTGGCGGCATAAATTCACTACAATCTCTTTTTGTGTGAATAGTGAACTGGCCACAAACAGTTGGTTCAATTGTTTCCTCCTAGGCCTGAGCAAGGAGGCAGGCATGTAGTGTCCCCGGGTTCCAGCAACAATGTCTCCTGTTACTAGAGAGGTGTAAGTTCTACAGTAAGTTCCCAGTGCTGTTCCCAGAGCCTTTTACAGGAGCTGCTTGGAGCCTGGTCCATGAAATAGTGATAGAGGGTCAGGTCCCAGCAGCTGGCACCTGGGCCGGGGCAGGCATTTATAGAGTGATTTTCACACCGCTTCCCCTCCAGCCTTTCCATGGAAATGTGCAGAATGGTTAAGACAGACTTGGGGTTGAGCCTTGGCTGAGCTATTTAATAGCTGTGTAATCTTGGCTAAGTTACTTAACCTCTGAACCTCAGTATCCTAGATCAGCCATTTCAACATTTTTCATCTCATGGCACACAAACTAATTACTAAAATTCTGTGGCACACCAACAAATATATTTTTTGCCGATCTGACAAAAAAATAGGTATAATTTTGATTCACTCCCATCGGATGGCTATTTGTGTTGGCTGTGGCCATATTTTTACTTGACGGTCTAAGGGAAAAGAAGGCAGTGCCCTGACTAGTCAGGCATTGCATGTTTTAAAAATTCTTGAGGCCACCAGCTGAAAATCGCTGACCTGGGTGGTGGAAGTCCAAGGACCAGCCTTGGCTCTGCACTGGCAGGCCTGGGCGGGAAGGCAGAGAGGCCCTAGCCCTCTCTAATATTTTATGATTCTGTGGCCCTTTGAACTCTATTGAGAAACAAACTGAGCTGATGATGTTACCTGCCTCAAGAGAGAAAACAGCTAGAAATGCCTACTCCTCTTGGTTTTCAAAGATTCGCTTCAGACAAGGCCTCTCGGCGGCAGCTGGTGTAGCAGTGCCTTTCCTTTCTTTCCTTCCTAGGAGGGCGCTGGGCCAGAGGGCTGACTTGGCCTGAGCTGAGGAAGGGTGTCCCAGGCCTCCCAGAACCCGCTTGAGAGCAAACAGAGCTGAGGCTCCATCCAGTCCTCTCCTTTGCCTCCTGCGTCCTTTCTCTCCAACAGACCCGATAGATGTGTGCGCATGTGTGTGTGTGTGTCCAAGGCATGCAGCTGGAAAAGGAGGTCAGGGGACGTGTGAACATGAGAAAGAGTGGAGAGGAAGTGAGGCAGGAAGGGCAGCAGGACCAGGCCTTATCACTAGCATCATCCTAACCAAAATGCCCAGGTCTCCTCAGACCTGACAGAGACAGGACAAACCCAAGTGAGATGCCAGGGAAGCGGGAGGCTGCTGTCTCCCTCCTCAGGCTCTGAGCACCGAGGCCTGGCCCGGGGCCAGTCTGTTCTGTCTGGAGCAGGCTGGAGAGTGCAGCTCAGATAAGCAGTGGTGGCTCCCTCGTGCCCTGGGGAAGGGCACCGTGGGCTGAGCAGCCTAGACAATGAGGAAAGAGTGGATGGCTCTGAGATTGCGGAAGGAAAGATTTAGAAGCTGCCAAGCTTGAGTGCAAAGGTATTTAATTGCAAAGATGTTTCTGGCTGAGTGATGTCCCCAGGCTCAAAGAATCTGTTGGGCAAGAGCACAGAAGAGGTTTTGTTTTCCAGGACCAGAACCTGCCCCTGACTCTTGGAACAGGCCTGATAAGCGCGCTCTGCTGATTGGCTGAGGGACCATCTGTCTTTTCCTCTCCGCTTAGCCCAGCACCAGGAAAGGGAAGGGCCCCAGCCCCGCTCTTCATGGCTCTGTCTGCCCTTTTCAGCATCCACAGCCAGTGCTCAGTCTCAGCTGTGCGGGAGCTCAGTGGTCAGGTGGGTCATAAGGAATCTGTTACTAACATTCGGTACCAACATTTGGGAGGGCTTTGCTTAAAAAAAAAAAGAGTGCCTTTAAGTTTTCACCATGAAATCACTGCCTCGCCCTCCCATGCAGGTGTGCTTTCCTCAGCGGAGAGGAAGGGTTTGGGTGGGGGCAAAGCCTTGGCGGCACAAGCCCACACTGTACTGTGAATGAGAAGCAGCAGGGGATCCGGACCATTTGAGGTGCCAGGAGCAGGGCCAGGGGCTGGGTCTTTGCAGGGACTCACCTGCATCAGAGACCCACTAGTAACTCGGTTTCCTGACTCCCAAGTCCACCTGATAAACGCCCACACAGATCCCTAAGGGTCAGCACTGAGGTCCCCACCCTCTGCAGCTTCCCCTTCTGCTCCAGGCAGACTCAGCTGTGCAGCCTTGTGTTCTGCAGCCCTCACGTGCCCCTCCAGGGGACACGTAGCACCGTGACTGTGCAGCCCATGATTTTCACTGTGCCCCTGATTTCAGGTACTTTGTTACGTTGGTCCCAGAAGTTCTCAGAACGTTCTGGAAATTTTGACCCTGATGGGTGCTTTCTCTCGGAGAGATCCTTTGTCAGACCTGATGTACCGACTTTACAGGGTAGACTGGTGGGTATTGGATGGGCCCCAGTGCATTCATGCATCTGCCACCTCCCCCAGATTGAGTTCCTGCTCCCCTAGTCCAGCTCTGTGACCAGCACAGAGAAGGGGCTCTGCCATTGCTGGCTGTCCCGTGGGACATAGTATCACGCATGCCTGGCTGCACTGAGTTTCCACCGCAAACTGCCATATTGTACCTCTTGTCCCCACCTTTCAGAGGAGAAAATTGAGGCTCAGGGTTAGGTAACTTTCTCATGAGCAAACAGCTAGCAAGGGGTGGATGCAGACCTAGGTCTTTATTCCTACTCTGTATCCTTCAGCTCCGATGAAGCTCAGCAATGTCCTGGCACTGTCGAGTCAGAAACCAGAGACGCTTAGGTGAGGGGATATCTGTTTCTCACCCACTGAGGTCAGCCTGACTCCCATCAGGATTATAGTAACATTCAGCCGAGCCTTTATGTGGTGCCCAGAGGGCATGTTTTACCCTCTGGGCATTCTGTCAGGATGTATCAACACGTCCTGCCCTCTCTTTGGAGCTTCTGATTTAAAACAGACACATGTACAGTTGATCATGTGACTCTAGGCTGTAGATCACCTATAGAATGCCAGAGATAAAAAGGGACTGCTTATTTTAATCTCCTTATTTTAAGATGAAGAGATCAAGACCAAAGGAGACTCATAGCTACCATGTATGGAAACTACATGAGACCAGTACTGTGCTAAGCACACTTTTTGCACTATTGATTTAATCCTTAAGTAGGCACTATTTCAATCTATCCCCATTGACATATGGAGAAACTGAGGCTCTGCAGGGTGAAGGGACTTGCTTACTGTCTCAGAGCTAATCCGTGGGGGAGCCAGGGTTTGAGCCAGGCCAGTCTGCTCTGGAGCGTGTGTTCCTGCCGCACACCCAGTGGAGGGCTTTCCTCGAGGGGCTGTGGGCAGCGTTCTGCCCCGCCCCACAGGTCTGCAGACAGTGCAGCTCTGTCTGCCGAGGCCACCCTCCTGGACACAGGGTCAGCCCTCCCTGGAATTAGCAAGAAGCTGCTCTTCCCAGTCGTAGTGGTTATTTTCAGAAGTGTGAAATATGTGTAAAATAGGATAGTTTCGGTAAAAATATCTCCCTGCTTATATAGTGAAGTGATACCCAAATCACTGACTTTGAGCAGATTTGTGGTTAGTTTTTGCAAAGGTGAATCTAATTCTCATATGACAGTCATTCGGGGGGTTTGCAGGGCCCTGGGTGAAGGAGAGGCTGAACTTCGGGAGATGGACTTCCCCCCGAGTGAGTACGGAGTCAGCCTGGATTTAAAGTGAAAGGTCCTAACCCACAAGCAGGTTACTTATCCTCTTACTCTATCTTCCGTAAGGAGCTGTAGCAGTTAACGATGTCATACACACGAGATTGCCCAGCTCCAGTATCTTGGTCAAACTTCAAAACTTAACAGCAGCTCCATTCTCTCCCCAAAATGATATTCTGAGAATTACTATATTTTATGATGAAACATGCATTTGGGAGTCTGTGGAGTCATCACTGGAAACTCTAGACAGCACCAGACTCCAGCAGATGTGTGGGCTTTAACAGTAATCACTCCTGTGCCCCAGCCCTACAGTATGTTTCTCATTGTTAATGTGAACGCACTTTTCCACTGGCCTGTCGCTTCTTCACTGGGCACTTACCAAATGCCAGTTCTGTGCCAGGCACGGTACAAAAGCTTGCAGGGGAGACATCCTACCTGCCAGCACAGAGCATCTGATGCAGAGCCCAGCAAACAACAGGTTTGGGCTCTCTCCTGTCAGAGCCAGAGAGCATTTATTTTGTTCTGAGACTCCCCCAGTTTCCTGGGTCTACCTCAGAGCATCCATCTAAAGAACGAGGTCCCCCTTGCACCCACCAGTTCCAGCGGCTGGATCCAAGGCTTATATGCCCTCTGGCCCAGCCTCAACTTACTGTGGCTCTTCCCCAACTCTCGGCCTCAGCCAAGGGAAGCCTGGTGCCCGGCTCTGAGGCCCCGACGGAGCAGGCTCCGGGAAGGAACTTACCCGAAGGCTTGTCTGTGGAGGACGGGAGGTTGGTGAGGGTGGGCATGGTGGGCAGGGGCGGCGGCAGCACCTTCAGGTTCTGATCGCTCTGGATCTCGTTGGTGGAGAACTGGTTG